AAAACACTGAATTGTCTAGAATAATCCACTGATGTAAAAACCCACTGTAAGTTTCAAACACGCCAAATTTCGCAGTTGATTTGTCAAGAACACTTGTTGGGTGCGGTGAGGCAATGCATGCATGTTTGAAAAATACCTGCATATTTCAAATACGATTCTAACAAAGACAGAAAACATTTGACATAGAGAAAATACAAAATCGGAAACTGAAATCCGTCTGAAAGCTATCGAAATCGTAGAAAGAAATGTACATTTAATATAATTAAGAAGTCTTTTGACTTTCACTACGAACTGTAGCAAATATAGGAGTCCTTCGAGCGAAATCAAAAATACGTTTTGCACCCATAACTGTCGCCTTCAGCCATCGTTTAAATAATTCTGTTGAGAAAAAAAAGGACAATGAGGTTAAACTTTGACGAAAGAAACCCCAACTCGAAAGGAAATATTGCGAACAGACGGATATCCCATCGCCGTAAACATTTGAAATAAAACTGGAATCGCTATTATTTTAAATTCCGAGATAAACAACAAACTAGACATCCTCTAGAACGTAATATGGCAGCTATCTGTTCGAAAAGTAAGTATTAACCATCAGCTTTCAGGCTGGAAGGCGATAAATAGAAGGAAATACTTTTACCATTCGTTATCAACAAATTGGACGCTAAATAACTTGAATACTGCATTTGGAAGTGAACGGTAACATTCGATTTTGTCAACCTTATATCAGTTTAGACAGATCTCCAAAGACGATTTAGACATGAAATATTATCACTTCACACTTACCTTACGTTTCAGTAGAACAATCTTGCATCAACGACAGCGAAAAAAACCGAAAATATCTTGAAAGCTTGATGCTGAGACCCGTGAGAAATAATCCCTAGAATCCAACAACGTACAAACAGCTCAGCGGCTTCCCACGTAATTTACATAGTTACCTTCAGGGTGATTCTAATTTATGTGCATTTCATTACTGCATCTAAAGGCTGCCGGAACTGAGTTTTTTTCTCTCTTTTCATTTTTTTTTCTTTAACTTTTTAAAATTGATTGTTAGTTTTCTTAGCCAGATGGCTTTGTGGATGTTTGAACGCTACCTCTTGGCCCCATCTGATATATCAAAAGTTCATCTCACATAAGTACGGCATAAGTCAAAAATCAAGTAACTTCTAGGAGGCACAAATGCAATAATGGTCATTTGAAGCCTAGAAGGTGAAAAATTTCCTTTCTTTTTTTTACCATGTGAGATAGAGGTAAATTGGTTTTCTCTTAATCTAATATGTTAGTAGTTCTCTCAAGCGGGAAATTGCCAGAGGACACGCGCACTATCAGAGAAAAGGGAAATTACTATGTGGCTACCTTATTACCTATGGTTCAGAGCATTGTTCATGCTTTCAATTCGAAACCATATTCAATGCATATGAATTTGTTCACGTGAAGCAAGTGTGGAGGATTGTATCGGCATGTTTAAAACATATGGACTTTATTATTAGCATACTAGTTTCGCTGTTTGAGGATGCGGTATTAATGTACAGGGTAATTGATTAATCGAGTTCCTTTCTGAAACGAATGAAGCGAATGACCAATGACTAGTGCTGGAAACTCTTTTAAAGGGGTAAATTACGTTATCAATTCCGTTGATAGAAACCAAATTATCATGTTATAGTCCTCGACTAACGCAGCACCACAGTTTCTTTCGAAATTCACCCTCTTGATGAATTTGTTTACATGTTTGTTGGCTTGTTTGTTTGTGTGTTTGATTGCTGGTATATATAATGGTGGCGAATAGGTTTGCAGGTTGGCAAATTTGGACATAAAAAATCATAAAGATAACAGATTTGTGAAAGCAAGCAACAAATTAAACGAATACGTAGATTTGAGAAAATACAGTTAATCTAGCAGATCGGCTGGAGATTTTGCTCGGCTTCTCGATTTCCGTCTGGCTTTCACTAGAGGTTTGGGCTGATGGGAGATCGAGAAATAAGATGCTGAGTACACTGCAATGTCCTAAAAGTAAATTAGCATGATTCCAAAGAGCCTTTGTAGAAGCTTCTCGTTATCTTTAGTATCCAGCGTTTATTTCGAGCAGTCCCTCCTTTTCAACGAAGTCCGCCTGTTGCACGAGTCCGAAAAAATTCAGCGAAAATGGTGGTTAGCGCGCCGCGTGGAACCCTGGGAGTGAGACCGCTCACAGTCTATTTCCAGCGTTCTCCACCAAGTAATGCGGCTTTTTTGTTGATTGTAGTCCCCAATTACTAGCACATATGTTGGGGCTTCCTCAGTTGAAATTTTCTTATTGCGACAAAGAGCGCAGATCAATACAACTAGTATAAAAAATAACAATTCGCAAAAGATATGGAAAAAAAGATATCGAAAAAATCGAGCATAAGACTTCTGCAGCTTTGTAGAGATCTAAACAAAACTTAGTTCTGATCATGAATACACTGCTATTTATCAAGAAGTTTTCAAGAGTTGTTATTAAGAATCGCAAGTAGATTAAACATGACGTTTACGACAACATTTATTCTGAATTTGCTAACTTCTTATTTAAAAATATGATAAAAAAAAATGGAATAGAAGAAATAGAAGAAACAGGATAAATGGAAATAGAAGACCACAAAAATGTCTTTTGGTGTGTATCTCCCAAAATCAGATGTTGTCATCGCGAAGGCAATTATTGCCAATTTTCCCAATATTTAATGGCCTCTTTGCTTTCACTTTTCTCAGGGAACAAAAAAATTTATGTTAAGCAAAACAAAAAAGCAAAAAAACAAAGAAAGAAAACCACTCTAGAAAAAAATGTAATCATTTCGCCTTTGATCACTGAAAATTACTCGAGTTTTAATTGAGCGAGGTGATCTCGACTCACTCTACACGTCACGCATCGGAAGCCTACTCTTGCAATCGGAACTGACGTCAATCGAGTCCATTCTCCCGTAGATATGTCGAAGCACTCTATGGAATATAGTTCCCGTTCCCCTCTGTAGTCTCGTCCACCAACAACGTAGATCTTCCTATTCAAAATAACAGCCTCGGCATCTTGGCGAAACTCGGTCATGTCTAAAAGAGAAAATGTTATTATCATCTGAGAGAGCAAAACGGTGTAGAATGTAAAATGAGCTTTGAGCTCAATGAGGTTAAATTTTGTCATTTTTTGGCGTTTATTGGTAATAAAAGGATGAAAATCTAGGCAAATCGTAGGCTAATCACTTAGGTGTATATACCTGTGGCTAATTAAAGCTCACCTTTAACCATGTTCCACTGATGCGTCTGTATATCATACACTTCACACTGTCGGAGCGTTGTGTATCCGTTATGACCACCCATGACGTAAATTTTCCCTTCAACTTCCACAGCACATGCCCCTACTTTCCCACAATTCAGCGGTAGCACAAAACTCCAGAGGTTAACCGCTGGATCGTATCGCTCCATGCTGATCTCGGGCTCAATTCCTTGTCCTTCACCACCGATTACGTAAATATGCGTTTCTGTATTAACCATTGCGTGACGACTTCGTGGGACTGTGGGGGGGGAAAGAAATTGCCATTTGTCGTTGATAGGGTTGTAGACCTCAAACGAGTTGCCATGGGAACCATTTATAATTCCACCTGCATCAGAAACGTCAAAAAAGTAGCGATTGTCCCCATAGAACACCATAATTTGGATACTGTTTCAGAATTTTGCAATAATTTGTTTGTATTTCATTCTCACCTAAGACATAGAGCAATCCGTCATGTCCCGTTGCAGCAGACTTTGCCCTTGGTTCTTGCATTGGGTTCACATAGTCCCAGTAATTGTGGTGCGGATCATAGCATTGCACCATATCTTGAAGAAGCAGGGAGGCCTGACCTTCTATAGACCCGGCGCATGCGTATACGAACCCATCAACAGAGACCACTGAATGATCGAACAGTTGAGTTCTGGAATAAGAAGGAGGTGTTTATCATGTGTTAGCTGTGTGATACATGGAAAGCAAACAACGTTTAATCGAGGAACTCATCTGCTACATCAGTCAACCTACAATATTATCTATTTTGTCAGACAAACACAACTTTTCGGAGCTTTGAGAAAAAGTACTTTTAACCAATGCCCAGAAGAGACAAAAAGGGCAAACTGACATCAGCTACAATGAAACTCTATCCCATAAACTCAGTTTTCATGATGTACATGGGAAATCAGTGTACTGTTGACTTTCAGGTGTGATATACCTAGCTGACAATCCCAACTTAAATCACTGTTTATTCTAAAGTTGATCTTTACTATGCTTTGAAATGGTCCACGTGACGTACCACGACTGCGCTAAAACCATTAATAATACTGCGAGAGTCAACTGACCATCAAAGAGTACAACAAAATGGCTCTGTTAAGTGTCGAAACCAGACCTCTCGACCCCGAATTTGGCTCGCAAATCAGTACGTCAACGCGTCTCCTGCCGGGAGACCCGATTACCATTTAAATTGGAACACTTTGAGTTATTATTTTTTTTTATGAAAGATAAAAAAAACTCTATGTTAGCGTGTAGAGTGGTATGTTGTTCGCACCATATAGATCGCCGCATTTGGATATATATCTTGCGCCAATCAGATCACTGCACTAGAGTATGTATCTTGCACCAATCAAATTGCCGCATTAGGGTACGTATCAATCAATCATATCGCCAATCACATGACCATTAGGCAATCTTTCACGTGCGTAAATTGTATTCCACTAATCAAATTCCATTTTGTCACATTAGCCTTGGCCCCATTAAGTGTCATTTCTTTGTACACAACCTGCGTTTAATCATATATTCCAACCGCAATGTCCAACCCTACTGAAAAAGATTCACATGCAACTAAATGCTACTGATAGTAAATTTCCCACGCAATTCTCTCGCGTTTTTACTTTTTCTACGAATGAAATTCGCTTTTAGCTACCTTGGACTTAACCCAATTGCGTGTTAATTCCTGGTAAACAACCTGCATTTTGTTACGTATTTCATACACAGAGGGCAAAGTCCAGATAGGTAACAACCACTCAAGGGGCCCTCTTTGAAATATTATCCCTTTTCTCTTGTTCAATGTATCTTTACTTATTCGCGATCGCAATACATCTTTGGTCTGGGTATATTGGAGATACAACAGAGTTTCAGTTTGCTTTTCGTAAAAAAAGTAAGTGAAATTATATTTCTTAAGCGAATAATTTTGATTTTCTCTCTGTTAGAGGAAAGGCAGTGAGCGAAGTCCCTTTCGCAACCGTTACATGGCCTCGTCACGTAACGCACTGTCTTTCTCCAACGGAGAATAGATGGCGTTGTGTGACGAGACCAAACAATAGCAGCGAAGGAGACAACGGTAAGCGCGGCATCAATGCATATTATTTTGCTTAGAAGTACTTAGACAATAGAGACAGTAGACCACAAAATACCTATATATGTAAGTTCAGATAACCTAGGTATTTTTTTCTATCTCCTAGGGTAAAGTAATGCGATATTTTAATTCTTTTGAAAGTTATACCCTTCTTCTGTTACAAAATGAAAACATTAGGTACACAAAGTATCCCATCTCAACCCAACCAGCCGAGGAAAATAAATCTTGCATGCAACGCATGCCTATTTTTTTTTTAAAAAACGTTTTCGAAGAACTTCATCTAAAGAGGTGTTGTTTTGTGAGAATCTGGCAGTTCTTACGCGTAATGGTAGGGAGCTATGTGCTTTGCCCTGAGTCATGCAGACATCTGTAAATGATTATAAACCGATGCCAGACCTTCATTCAACCGGTTTTAGGGATTGCCTTTTTTCCCATTTCTGTCACCATGAAATAGAAGGGACTATTTGTGTTCCAATACTTACTTCAAGGGCGCTAAAGAATACCACTGATCACCGTTAGGCTCGTAACAGAAGGTCAATCGACCTTCCTCTAGATTTCGCCCTTTACCTCCAACAAACAAAATCACGTCAACTAATGTTGACCAAGTTCTTGGCAACGTCCGCGGACTGCTCAAGGTCTTTCTGGTGTTCTCATCTTGTGCTGAATTAAATCGCAAGGCTTCCAAAACCATCTCTTTCGCTGTTGGTGAGCGCTGCACCAATTGTTGTCGTTCAACATGGTCCATTAGTACGCTGGGAGGAAGGAGCGCAAGGCGAACGTGCTGGAGTAGTTTAGCAAAATGGACGCCTCGCTCCCTACGGTCATATTCAGTCCATCTTATTAAACTGTCGAACACCTAAGAGATCAATAAGAAATCAGTGAGACGACTTAGGATTTGTATTTTCAATATACTAATCTTAGGCAAGAATATCATTGCTGGTGACTTATACCTCCTTGGGAGGTATGGGGAGGAAGGGGGAACCAGGAGCCCATTATCCAGAGCTTCCATCATCCAGTCCATAGAGCTGAGGTCCCCCATGTCCCGTATCTTTTTATTTTTATGCGAACGTCATTCTGTTCTCGCGGAAATTAAAGCAAACCCCCCACGGGGTTTTTCGCGGGACAAGTTTACCTAATAGCCAGTCATTAGAGAGCTGAGGGTCCTCTATTGTTTTTTCACGAATTGATGCATATGCAGGCCGGACGAAATGTATTTCAATAATGGCGAAAAAATTTTGCGGAAAAAAGTTTATCATTCTTTTAACCATAGGACTAAAAATGAGAATTAAAATTATCAGATAGAACGTCATTCAGATCTTGGGAGTTAAGGTGGTACGATTGACGGTACGGTTGACAACATGTAAGAAGAGCCGGTATATGAAATTTAAGGCTCATTCGAAAACGACGGTTATTAACAAGTAATGCATTGTTACGTCCAACAGATAATTACTCGGTCATGATCCCCAAACTATACAAAGCCAAGCCGAAGGGATATCCAATTTCACTTTGTTGAAACCTAAAGACAGACGTATTATCTGGCAACTTGAAGTATGCTAAATTTGGTGAGAACCAGAGAAATGAAATTGCATTTACTCATATTTCTGATGTAAAACTGACTAAAAACAGAAACATAAAAAAAGGAAACGAAATGAAAATATTAGCTTAACTATGTTTAGTTGTGCACAAAGCATAAATATTTCGTTTACCCTAAAAATACTGTGCGAGGGCGTTTTCTCAAGAGGGAATGTGTTTTGTGACAAAATTACAGTGGCATCAATCTAACCTGAGATTGTGCTAATAATACAAACTAAATTCTCCTCATCATTCATCATTCATTTTCATAATCACTTTAGAGTCACCTTACTACCTGTTGCTCACTAGTTGTACAAATATCATTGTTGGACAGTATGCTTTCCAGATCATTTTTATGAAGCCCCAAAAACTGCGTTGTTTCCGCGACTTTGACAAAATTTTCACATAGAAATCTGTGGCACCGCTGATGGAGCTTTTCTTGTCCATGGGTTAGCGAAATTTCCCGCACCGTCAAACAATTGTCAGGCGTTAGAAAACTCACAAGGACGTAGGAACATTCCTCGATCAAACTTTGTAGCTTGAAGAAGACTGCAGCCTTGAAAATGTCAATAGCGTTGCCGATGTTGATAAAAATTCGTCCTCCATACATATAACCCAATATTGCCTCCATGACGGAACGCTCAATTTCTTGAGGCAGATCCACGTGCTTGATGAATCGACCGCTTTCGCTGTCTATGAACAACGATCGAAAATACGGACTCGCTACGCCGAGAATGTTACGATGGCACGAAAACTTGAGGCTGTCAATTCGCAGCGTTACATCGCAGAGAATCGCCTCCCTGCGTAAGAACTGAAAGTACTCGATGATAGAATCTTGGAAACTCCTATCAACAAATAAATACGTTTGGTCCTTTTTGATTCCATTAATGTCTGTCTGGATATCTCCAACATGTTGGGAAGGCATGTTGAACTCTTGAATCTGATTCCTTTAGTTTATTTTTACTAGGGCCGGGTTTGATACCTTAAATGCGTACAAGTAGTATTGACATGCCAAGAAAGCTGCGTGAGTATTATTTATTCGAATTTATGCTCATTTAATAGAAGCATTTGTTGTGTAAACTAACAGGTACCACTGGTGTATTATTGTATGCAAATGTTGGCGGGTGTCGCCCGTGTGTTGTTCGAATTGTAAATGGCTATTGTTCACCTGTTAAACTAAAGGAATGACAGGAAGAAAGAGCGAGAGAGAAACACTGGTCAGGAAGACTTGATCATTATTATTTTCTATGTTTTGTTGGCATCGCAGATGTTGGCCGTTCATTTTTTATCGCCAGGGGGTCGGAGGATTTTGGCCGGTGTCACGGGAAAATTTCCCTGATTTCCCCATAAGGCTCTGAACCTCTTCATGGGAAGTTAATCGGCAGTCAGTTTTCTTCAGTCCCTCTTTTATACTATGTTGGCGATGACTAATCCCCTCTCCATTCCCCCTGAAAACCATGCGATCTCTACCAAAAATCCCTCGATACCCCCACCCTCTCTGCGACAAATGGTGACCGGTCCGAAAGGAGCGGAAAAAAAGAAGAAAACGGAAAACAGGCGTTGGAAGGCAGGTAATTTAGTGTTAACGACTGAGTTGAAAACGTACATTGGCCACCATAGAGAGTTAAAAAGGCTGACGTTTCGAGCGTTAGCCCTTCGTCAGAGCGATTGCTCTGACGTCCGAATTACCTGCTATACTCTCCCACCGACGCAGCACCACGGTTTCCTTAGAAAATTTATTCGTTGGAAAGCAGACCTCAGAGGCACAAAAGAGTAGTAAACATTTTTTTTCAAATCTTGCAGCTTTTCACTATATGTTAACGACAAGCACTTGAAATCTGTTTTAGTGGAAAGAAACTCGCCTCACCCAAAAGGTGGTGTGTTGCTGTTTCGGTATAATTCAGAGGAATATAGCAGGGGTCATGGGGCTCCCGGAGGGGTACAGGATATCGAAGAGGAACGGAAGAAAAGGCAATCTCAGTTAACAGTTCTTTTTTCTTTTTTTTCAGTTCTTTTTCTAGCGATCGATAGATAGATAAAGATTGATATGGGCAGCTCTTTGATTTGTTTCTTCTTAAAGGACACTTCAATTACATTACTTAAATGATTGTTTACATGCGTGGCTACCAAGGCGAAACTGTTCGCGCCTCCTGCCGTGATCCAAACTGACGATCGCGTGACATTAGAATGATCAAGCTTTCGTCTCTAGAACCGAAGTAAGATTTCAGTCATCTGCGACAATGTCTGATGAACCGAAAACAACCACTTCTGATTTTTGGAAGGGGCTTTGGAAGGACGGTAACACTGGCTGGCATCGTAACGAAGTGAATGCATTTCTGATCAAGTATTTTGACGAGCTCACAGGTGGACGATCGAATCTTCGCTTCTTCGTGCCCCTGAGTGGAAAATCGGCGGATATGTTGTGGCTGGCCGACAAAGGGCATACTGTGGTTGGAGTAGAGCTCGCCAAACAAGCAAACGAATGTTTCTTCGCAGAGAATAACCTGACTTTTACGGTGGAAATAGTTGAAATATCTGCAGTCAGTGAACCCGTGGAAGTATACAAATGTAAAGAGAAGAGGATCACAATCTTTTCCTGCGACCTCTTCGCTGTCACCGAAAATGATGTGGGTGGGAAATTCGACGCAATTTGGGACCGTGGATCGTTGGTTGCCGTTGCTCCTTCGTTCGGCGATAGGGGTAAACGGTATACCACAAAAATGCGTTCACTTCTGGCTAGTGATGGAAACTACCTTCTTGAAAGCTGTTACTATGAAGTTGACCGTGGCATGAACCCTCCGGCTAGCATTACTGACGAGCAGATAAATGACATGTATGAAGAAGACTTCACTATCAAAAAGCTGGAAATGAACAAAATTCAGGCGAACCCCGAGAAGGAATCATCCTTTGCTTTCGACATAAATTATTACCTGTTCAAGCCAAAAGGAAACTAACCTAACCTTGACCTTAAGCTAATGGCCTTTTTGTAAAAGATACAGTGTGGTTCCCTTAGGATCAGAGAGCGTGCTTGTTTTTTTGTTCACTTGCATTTTTCAGGCTGTTGAGATTTACCCTAAGTTTAGTTGTAACAATTTGATTTCAGATTTCCCCATCTGAAATGCCAATGTACACCAATCATTGATTGCAAATTGTAAGATCAGTTGAAATTTAGTAATTTGTGACTAGCCTTGCATATTGGTCAAATCAACACTAACATAAATGAACTGGTTGGTTATTTTTCTTAGTCAGACCAAAACTATTTGAGTCTTTCCGATTGTTTTGTTTGTGCGCTTAGAAAATTGCTCAATTTCCACTTCATTTAGCTTGCCCTCCCCACTCACACAAATCCAGACATCATGGATCCCCTTGTATAGCCTAGAGTATGCATCAAAACTTATTTTTCAGTGTTTTTCAATGTTTTCGTTGAAAACAATTTCTTTTTTCAAATGCAGTAATTAATCATTGAAATTCCCTGATTGCATTTTAATGAGCAACATTTGGAACTTAAAAAGATTTCTACAAACACAAAATTATGTCACTGCATCAGAATGAAACATTATAATACAAAGTTGAAGATTGACTAAAATCACACTTCTCCCACACTGGTGATGAATACACAAACATGATTCCAAGTAGTCAAGACTAATTATTTACAAAAATTACAACAGGAGAGAAAACATTTGCCGATACAAAAGATATCTAACAAAACTTTCAAGGAGTGGGAGAAGACTTAACCCATGAAATTATGTGTATGCACACATGTAGGATCGAGGTCAACTTATTGATTCTCAATGTCAGTTTTGAGAATTTCAAGCCTCATGAAAAAAAAATATTCACTGTGATTTTCTTCTATTTGAAAGATTTCTACCTTAAAAATTCTACAAGGCTAATTGCAGCCTGTGACCAACTGGAGCACACCAACCTAGAATAAAACACTTTTCTAACAATGACATTAGTGTTTTCATACCATTTCCTGCAATGTGCATAAGGAGGGTAACATTCAAGAACAACTAAAGATTGAAAAATTAACACAGTTTCCCACTGGTGGACTTGAATAAGAACAAAAAAACAACAAAAAAAGGAAAGTAAATGCACGTTATGTGAAAGTGCATATTATAGCATTATTTCTACTATCTCTACTCTACATCATGTTGATCCTCACTTTGTAGAATAGTAAATGTTACAAACTAATTTTAACATTGCGTGGGAAAAGTGCTTGTGCTTGGTGGTTAATGGTGTGCGTATCTCCAATTTTTCGTGAAACGACATCCAAAGAGTGATTCTTCTACTCAGAGTAACTGGCATGCATTGAAAAAGGTTTTAAACAAACACTCAACTTGCATTTGCACATGTTCTTGTGTTGGTAGAGGCTCAGTCTGACTCTTACAATTATCACAAAGATTTGTTTTGCTTTCCAAAGAATAAGATTCTCTTTTTGAAATTACAAATAGAGTGAAAGAGATAACTGAGAGAAACTGAGGAGTAACAAAACCAACTGTTGGTTCAACAGATCACAATTTGCCCTGAGGCCAACTACTGCCCATGTAAATTTTGTCAACAAGTAAAATAGTCCACTGTCATAACTGAGGCCAAAAGATGGTAAAAATAACAAAGAACACAAAGCAATCAGTAACTTCTATGGGCTGTAGTCATGGGTTGTCAATTCCTTTTCAGAGCTCTCTAAAACTTAAGAAACTTTATCACTACAAAATACCGATAAACATATGAAGGCATAAAATTCAAAGTTACTGTCAGTGACAAAGGTGCTATTTATAATTTCCCTTTTTCTTTCCTAGGATCTATCATTTTTTTAAAAAGATTCTACAAAAAAAGTCCACAAACACTTTTTGGTTCTTTCAAAGAGCCATTTGACTATTCTTCCATGCAAGTTTCAGTATTAGACAGCAGTTGTTGCATGTTTTCTAGTGCAGTGTCTGATTTGATGTTTTTTTTGTACATTTTCCAGGTTTTTCATATCTTTCATAATTAACGCAATGTGCTGATTTGAGTGAATTTGTTGACAGAAACAGATGAGCTTAACTCCTTGGCTCAAATGGAGGAAAATGAAAAGTCAAACCAACAAAAACAGGCCCTGAAGCACCATTATCTTTCCTGCAATGAAACATGCACTGTCCAAACACTTCCTTCTGTACTACAAATCCAACTAGTAAAAAAAAATTCAAGGTCAGTTGCAATTTAACAGCTAGTTCAGCCAGTCATCCTCAAAGTTCATATCAGTCCTCTTAAGCTTCTTGTAGTCTTCAAGGTTTAGTGATCTCCTAGGTGCTCCATCCCTTTCGGTGTTGGCAGGTCTTGGAGTTACTACCACTGGACGAGACTCTGTTGAAAGAAGGCTTTGTTTAAGTCTTTGATTATCCAAAGTTGAACCTGTCTTCCTAGTTTTTAGCAATTGTCTACAAAAAAAAAATCATTTCCTTGATCTCAAACAAGACATCCTAGCAGAGGATAAGGGAATAGTCCCTTCCATATTTGTCCATCATTTCTCTAATCAAATTTATCAACAGTTTCAAAGTTTGATGACCATACATGGGTTATTGACTGAGTAATCATGCAACATATTTTTTGGTATTTGGTTGGCTTCTTCAGGTGAACAAAAACGTGTTTCCTGAATTGCCATCTATCTGTCACAGATAAAGTAAGCTTTACATAACAAACTTGGCCATTACCCAGCCAAGCTTGGACAAATACACATCTTTCAGAAGCATAATAAACACAGAGGAGTCTTGTTTTTCTTCAATCCTGAACAAATAATTTTCCTGTTCTATTTTTATCTAGCTCAGCACATATCTTTGAGTGTATACTTGTCCAATGTATCACTTAAACTTGACTCTGGATATTTCCAAAAATGTCTGTACTTCAAAGCACTTTTATAGCAATTGTTATATCCACTGTAGATAGTCATAAAAAAAAGTGTGTCACCTGTTCCAGGGGCAGGAATGTCGAGATTGATTGTGATGTCGAAGTTGTGTGCCGAAAACAGATCCTCTGACTGAGGTTTCCTTTCTGGAGGATGAGGTGCTGCTCCAGCCAATGGCATTTGTGAAAGTCTTTCTATATCTGACACCTAGAAATCAAACAAAACATGCATTAAAATGACAGAGAAATGATAGTGTCAATTGTATCTCAACCAATGAGCCTCGACAAACAACTTTGTCGTCCAGGCAAATGTTCTATGTATTCTCTCTTATTTGAATACCTTGACAAAGGCAACATCTCCACAGCTTCTAATAAAAGTGCATCCTAAATGCTTAATTTTTTTTTTTTTAGGGATCTGTCATATTTACAGTCTATAATTACCATCTTTGGCAAATAAAAATGTTTTACCCTTGAAAAATGGGTGTGCTTTCATCCCCATGCAACCTTTTTACTCATGGCAACCTCTTGTGGTCACTTCCCTCTGTAAAACGAGCTGACTACTGAGGAGATGGTCCATTGTATCCTCATACTAACTAACTCAAATCCACTCTTATTAATTCACCATTCACATTTTTTTATTCAAGATATGCACATAGTTTTTCTATTGCACAATTGTAAAGGACGAGTTGAACTTACATCAGCTGTTTCAGTTGGTTGGCTTGATGATGAAGCCTGCAACAAAGATGAAGCAAATCATTAGGAAACAATCTTACCAAAATTCTTCCAATAATTGTAAAGTATGTCTACATGGTATATAGTGTCAGTTAAAGCTTCAGAACACAGCAATAAATAACAGCATATTTACAAGACAGAGTGATTACAGTATGATGGTCATAAATAAAGGAAATGATCACCACCCAAAGAAGCTCCTAATTGTAAAATAAATTCTCCTTTTCAGCAGCTGGAAAATGTATAGAGAACAGTATGGAGAATATGCATACTGATGTTAGAGTGTAAAGGGCTGCTACATTACACTATAAAAGTGGCAAAATAAAAAATATCAACACTTACTCCATCAGTGCTGGTGGATTGGGGCATCGAAGAAGAAGCTGCCCCTTCAGTATTCGCTCCATTTTGTGCTTGTGTAACAGAACTTGGAATGGTTCTATTAGCCTGAATATAAAAGCAGGTTTGCATAAACCCAAGAATTTAAAAAGTACAATTGACATTTCACAAGTCTTTTCACAAGAAGGTAGACAACTTGGTGAAATCAGCTCTACAGAAAGAATGTATATCAAGTTTGGATGTACAGTGCAACCTTTCATGCAAATTTTTTAGGTCTAAAACAGTTTAAGGTATGGCTCCGTGGCATTCAACAGGTTCAATTCATGTTGTCTTGATGTGTCATAATTTTTACAGAGTTTGACTCACCATAGACACAAGTTGAGGAAGGGTTTTCCGTCTTGTGAATGGATCAGCTTTTTGTTCCACATTCATTTCTTCCTGATTGGAGTGGATTAATAGTTGTGAAAAAGTTATTATCAGTTTTAAAGGTGTTCACGCCAAGAGAGACTTGAAAGGAGGATTACAAATTTTAAACCCCAATCACCCTTAGTGTTTTCTGCTAACCCTTAACAGTCCCAGAAGTAATAAACATGTTACTCCTTGTTATAATATTCATACTTCATCCAGAAAACAGGTAATTGGAATCACTAAACTTAACAGGGAGACAACAGTATTCTCTTTACTAATTTACACCAAAATATATAGCAGCTGGAGGGGAGAATCAACAATCAGCTCTTGGGAGTTAAAAGGTTAAAAGATGCTTCTTGGAAAAAGAGAACAGATAATTCACATTTTTTTCTTAACAGTATCTGTAACTCATCATCATCATCATCTGTACATGATTCACCATCAGCTTATGAAAAACTGCACTAACTTATTTTACAGAATCCAAGCAATAAAAATATAAAACTACAGTAATCTTACAGCTGCAGCTTTTTCAGCCTCCACAATATTCCTCTTTCTGTTTCTTTCATTGATGTAACTGCAAGTGGAAACAGATTGCAATGAGATGAGCTACTGGTAAAAGCATGAGGAAATTAAAAAGATGAAAAGATAAACAATGAACTATAGAATTTTAACAAGAAACAAATCAATAAAACTCTTCAAAAGGTAATAGAACTTTGTCTAGGTACACAGGGACCCTGAATTAATGCCCATGACACTCATCTCAAGAAGAAGCTAAGAATATATTTTGATGTAACATCCTATCCTTTAGACTAACTTAAGGACATCCACCCTAAGGTATTGGGCTGGTTTTTCAAAAAGTGGTTGTGCAGGCTCTACATAATTTGTGAATGAAAGTTAAAATTGGAAGCATGAACATAGGGTGAATAACATTGCCTGAAATATCAGGCAAAATTGAAGGAAACAACAAAATACCAGTATGTAAATCTCTGAAAAGCAAGAAACCAAAATCAAACAACTAAAAGTGAACTGCATGTACAACACAGGGTAGTTTTGTCTCAATTTGCAAAACACAGCAGAAGGTTACCCTTTACCTGATAGCACTAAGGTTTTTAGACCGCACTTTGTCAAGTTGTTGTGCTTTCTCTTCCAAGTCATCCAGTTCACCACGCAATTTTTCTGCTTCTTCCAAGTTCCCCTTCTGTTCTGCTATTTCCTGTTACCCATAAAAGAAAATAAATAAGTGCTGTTAACCCACTTTTCCTTGTTTGCATGCAGTGAAAACGATTACAAAACAAGCACTACTATGGAGAAATCAAATTCACATCATTCCCTTACATCAAAAGTAAATTAAATGAGATAAAATTATTATGAAAATCATTCCTTCCACATCACTTCACTTGTGAATATCAACTTATGACTGGCTGTGACTGTCAGGCAGATATTGTGCAAGGTGACCATTGAGATCAGAGAGGAAGATACATGGAATTAGATAATTTAGCTTTCCTTGCCTAATCTTTATGGATCATCCCAAATTCATGGTAAAAACCAGCCAGCAGAATGTTCTCTGACTCCTTGCACCCACAATGTAGGTTATTGTGAGATTCAGTATGTATGGTGATTTTCAATTGGTTGTTGTAAAACTAAAATGAAAACTAATACAATCACAGCAGCCAATCACAACCAGGAAAATATCTTGAAGAGCCAATAAGAACATGAAATAAAATCAAGCAAACTGCCTGGAGCTCAGGAAAATGGACATGACCAAGTTATGATTGATTTTAGTTTTGATTATGACTGATTAAGGAAGTCAGTGGTAGAAGTAAAGTATAGACAAAGCAATTCTGGATTACTTTTGACACTTTATTGAAAATTGCTCTTTCCCACTGAATCACTCACTGTGATGGTTCTGATTGGTTATACCCACATGTTTACCATGGCTACCTTTTAAAACTAAGCTCCCTCCTTCCCAAGTCTCCCAAAGTCATCTTTTCTTGATGAGTTTAACTTGGTGTTTGAATGTGACTGAGCTACTTGTACTAAAAGTTTTTAATAGATATTTTACAAACCTTTGATCGCATTAAATGATTCTTCTTCTGAGCGTAATTAAAGGGTGTTTTCCTGAATTTCTGTTTCTCTGCAACAATCTGTCATCAGTGCAGCAAATAAAAAGACCATAAATTAAGCACTGTCTTGGTTTATGAAACAAAAAATGATGACAAATTTTTGTCACACAAAAAAAGCCTAAATTTAAAGCAAGGTGGAAATTTCTAGTAAATCCAAAGTACTGTGCTCAAAAAAAAGTTACCAATGTTGTTATAAATAATTATGTTGAATTACTGAGTGCAGAGTATACCCTTTAGAGGGAAGACATGAATTTGGTGTTAGATCAAGATGAAACCTCCTACTTGATGAGTTTGAGTATTCTCAATACCTGTTTGCTGGATAACATATGGATATTAAAGGGAGAATTTACATCTTAATCACTTCTGGGAGTTAAAGGGTTAAGCTAGTCTCTCTTAGTTTTCATACCTTGTCAATATCCTCTTCATTATACATGTAATGCTGTGCTTCATTGAATTGTTTAGCTTTGGTGTCCACCTCCTCAAGTGTTGGTAAAGGAATGTCATGAGATTCACACTGTTCATAAATGACAAATAGAATCATTCACATCATTAAAAGGCAAACGTAAAAGAACAACAAAGGAGGAATTGTCTTGCTCATTTGTTTAGTTTATTACTGTTCCTGCTTTATTGAAACTAAATTAACGTATTTTAGTTTTTTCATACATCTTTAAGAGAAGAACACAACTACATAATGAGGACTGGACACTAAGTTTTATATGCACAATAGGGGCCTGGTACTAGTTTATCAGACCACATTGTTCTTGTTTTATGTTCTATGACTGCCCTTGAGGTGATGGAAGCAATTAGGAAACTCACTGTACGGGAGAAAAAGCACAATGGTTGCTTGGGTGCACCTCAATAATATGCCCGCCTTTGCTGCAAAGCAGGTGTTTGCAAATTTTTGGTCACATACCCCTAGTGTAACTCTGAGGGAAACTCAAACTTGGACAGGAGGGCTCTAATGGCCTGATAGAGTGTCTGCAATGTACTTTTGCCACCTATGACATCCCAAATGAATGTGCCACCTGACGGCACCGTGGCTACACAGCAGTTCCTAAAGGAGAGGGGCATGCATCACCGATTGTCCTTTGTCACCTTCCCACAATCCAACTGTCAAGTGGAAGTTGGAGTCAGATAAACATGATTTGAAGTTGCCCCAAAAGTTCAACATGATGGTAAAATTAAGTAAGTTGCCTGAAAAAGAATGGAGAGATTGACCCTAAGTTACCTCTTCTTTCCACCTGGCAAATTCCGTTTCTGTGAATCTCTGATTTGACACAAACTCTAATCTAAACACCCTTTCCTGGTTGCCATGTCTATTGAGTAAAAGGAAGAGAGAACCATTAACCTTTATTTCTTGTAACATTATTTTAGAGAGGAAAAGTTCACAACAAACTGAAGGGATTTTAGTCATCCATATGGAGAACTGGTAAAAACTCAACTACATCATCTTATAAATTGAACACTTAAATTCTCAACTAACATACTTCAACTTCAATCCTTTATTTGTTTTTGTACTTCCCAAAGAGTATATCTTGGCTGTTTCCACCACATCTCTTATCTCTGCTACCTGGAATGAAAAATACCCATTTTATAAGTGGCTGTAATTAATGTTTATTGGTTGTAATTGGTTAGTTTGAACCCATCAGTTAGAAAGAAAAGTTTTTTAACCATTTCACTGTCTGAAGTGATATATACTTAACTTCTCCTTACAATATCAATACATTATGCTGCAAACAGGTAACGAGAATAATCAAACTTATCAGTTAGAAGTTGTCATCTTTATCTAGCACCAATTTCTTGTTACTTATTTACAAGGTTGGGAAAAGTGTAGCAGCTAAATGAGATAATTTTAAAATCAGATTTGGGAGTTGAAGGATCAAGTTTGTAGTGTCTGCAATAAAAGTCTGCAATACAGAACTGAAATCTGTTGAGAGGAGTCTGCTCTGTAGGAGTATACCAGCTCTCTCTGTCATTGTCAGGTCAAAACATAAGTCTTTCTTACATGCTCCTTTTCAAAACTACCCTTACATTGTCATACCCACTAAGATACACCAAAATAAAAATTCTTGAAAGCATCAGAAGCTGGCAAATACGCTGTGTACCAGCACCATCTATGTTGTCATTCAATTTCTTTATCTAGGATTGGAAATTTTTCAAACCAGTTTGACTTGCAGTTTCCTTTGGTTCAGATTATGATTTTTTACATCATAATGAATATAATATTAACAGGAAAATAAAATTCAAAACTTTTTGAAAAAATTTGTGCATAATCATAAATAAATATGTTGAAAGGTTAAATTAATGTGTCCTTCACTTCATCTCAATAACATAAACAAACCCACAAGCTAACTTCCTCACAGTAACTCAGTGCTCAATCACAAAAAGAGAAAATAAATAAATATAGCATTAGTTTATTTTGTTTGTTTTAATTGATGTGTGGTTGCTCAGGTGCAAAAACAAAAAAACCTTACCCTATAAACAGGTCTTGCATCATGATTTCCGATACCAACACGGACATAACAGCCAATCACTATCTTGCCAAAGAAGGGCATGTGTACCCATCTGTTTAGAACAGTTTAAAAAATAATAACAATTATAAACAACCAACCATTGATTACTCCTATGATTACTTTAACTTACAGAGTTACTTGAATGTGTTCCCAAACACATTAAAAAGACACTAAGTTCAAGTACAACAAGCCAGTCCTGAACTGAATGGAGTGCTGTTTGAGTTGTGAAGGTGCACTGTTGTTACCAAGTAACGCACATTGTAAGGACCTGAATGTAATGTACAGGAGCAGATGGAGGCGAGGATAAGATCAATTTTCTCTTGGGCGCATTGAAAAACCAATGTTTAAAAGAAACTCTGAAGTTAATCTTCTTTAACCATGATCTCTACACTGATTCTAGTGAGAGAGTTTACCCAGTGAGACAAGATGCTTGTGTTGTACTAGACAAGGCAAGAGTGATATCTTCCATGATCTTTTCAAAGGTATTTCAATTTACTTTTTTTACACCATACAGGCCAGTACCTTTCAAGCTTGTGCCGTGATATTCTTATCCTCTCCAGATCTCCCAAAGCTGACACCCTTCGAGGTTGTGCCTCACCTTGCCTAGAATATCATTTGAAAAAAAAAAAAAAAAAACAGTAATGTATCCATTTTTACATAAAATAGTAATTACTGAATGTCCATGGATACCAACTTGGCCACCATGTACTTACTCTTCATCAGATTCTTGGTATGATCCTTCCCCCGAACTTGACTTGCTTTCCTCCTGCTCATCGTCATCTTCATCGTCAGTAAACACATCACTAGTCTTAAACTGTGGTGCTTTTTGGTCCGCTAGAGATTCTGCAACTTTCTTCTCTTTTTTCTCAGATCTCTTTGCCTTTAGATCATCCAAAGCTTTTGCTTTCTTCTCTTCAATGTGTCTCTTTCGCTCTTTTTTCCATAAAAGCTATTCCTTCCTTCTCAAGATTTGCTTTTTCCTTCTCTCGTTTCTTCTTCTTCTCCTTTCTTTTTGCAAGACGGAGTTTTCTTTCAATTTCAAATCGAGTCTTAAGAGCTTCCCTTTTCTCAACACGGTTGAAAATCTCCTGCTCTCGCTCTTTCTCTGTCATCTTTTCAAGTCTTGCCCTATCTGCTTCATCTCCCATTAGGTTGTCATCCCAATCATCATGATACTGCTCTTCCTCTTCATCCTCTGAGGATGATGATGATGACGATGACTCTGTTTGAGTTAAATGAACAGTTCTACCCTGATAAAAAGGCAGTAACTACTTACATTGTATTCCTTAACCCTGTAACTCCTATGAGTGATTAGATTTTCATGGAATTTCTCAGAAGTTGCACAAGACAAAGGTGAATTTTTGTTCTGTCTGTACTGAACAGGCTTCAAAGGATTATGGTAAAAAGAGGTTGAAATTTAAAGTATCTGATGATTCAAGTCAGAGTCAGTGATCAAATTTTCATAAACCTTATAAAACCAGTTAACATTTTGGCCTAGCTGACAGTGTTACATGTGCATGTAAACCTTTTTATATATAACTTGGGCATTGGGTAATTTGTTTCTATTGATACCCAGGATTTGTATCAAAGCCAGCTTTTCAGTCTCTACAATGTATATCTATTGTCCATATAATAAAAATTAAATTACATGTTAGCTCAAAGATATGAATGTTATGTTCTAATTGCACAAACATTATCTCATTTCTTGCACTCAATTGTGATATATTTTTCTTGCCACTTAAACATAAAATTCACATCTTTTTGTCCCCATATAATATCCTCTCTCTCTCTCTCTCTCTATATATATATATATATATATATATATATATATTTAGAAATAGAGGACTTCTTTCTGTCTTCATAGCCTCATCTAAACACTAGGGAGGGAGGACTCTCAAAAGTTTTGCAAACCTAAGATGAGATGCAATTGAGGGTTTGCATAACTTTCCTTGATTCTTCAAGCCACGCTTGTGTTTCAATGAAGCTATGTAAACAGAGGAAAGGTCCTTTTTGCTTCAGTACAAAGACTCTCACCACCAGAGGATGTTTCACCACTTTCTTCTGATGAAGAACCCGATGATGAAGCTTTTTTGGCTTTTTTCTTGTCCTTAGCCTTTGCAGCCTTTCCTTTACTATTCTCAGAATCCATTGTCCACTACAGGAATTAACAAATCAAATAACTGGATAAAAAAACACCTATTAAACCTTTGATCCCAAAGAGTAACTAGTACCTCATGTCTCCTGACAATATCACCCCTGAATCAAACATTAAGGTGACAAGAATTAGAATAATGATCACCCATTAAAGAAGCTCTTGATTGTTTCACAATTCTCCTTATCAGCACCTTAAGAAATGTAGAGAGAACTACAAGGAGAATATCTATACTGATGTTAGGGTGTAAAGGTTTAAGCAAGGCATTAAGATGCATGACCGTGAGAACCGTGACCCTTTGTTTTGATTTGGATGGTTTACACAGCTGTGATTGGTGCAATCATAAACCTTGCTGTTCTGATAATATAATTCCAAATTCCCTCATGGATCTCTAGCTGAATGGTTATACCGTTGTTCCTCTTCTTGATTTTTCCCGTAAAAAAAAGTAAAACAGCAACAGGAGAGCCATACATTATACACTTTATGTCATATGATGTGATCAAGTTTAAACATATACCATTTTTTCCGAGTACCAATTGAGCGTAAACAATCTAAACAGCGGCGGTTGTTAACAAGCTGCAGTTTCACCATATCATAACTTATAAAGCAAACTCATACAGGCTTGAAAAACTGATGAACCAAGTTGTTTGGGAAGTTTTCCAATTGTTCGATCGTTCGCATTCAATTGCGTGAGGTTTAAAAAAAATTGGAACAATTCACAACGAAATGAAATAGTTGCTTATAGAATCCTGCCATAAATTACCTCATCATCACTTCCCTCCGATGAGTCCAAGTCACTGTCTGAATCTCCTGATCGCTGTGGCTTGGCGTTACTATCGTTCGCTGGTCTCGAACGTTTAGCGAGTGACTTCAATTCCTGAAATAAACAACAACTTCCAATGTCACCAACACTTGAAGAAATGGCGAACAACTCAGATATCTGCGAAATTATTATTCACCTCCTCTAAGTCTTGTTCACTCTCATCATCGTCGCTGCTTGATTCCACTGCAACACGTTTTCTTTTTCGTTTCGAATCATTAGCTTCCTTCGTTTTCCCCATCTTAGTGCTTGAGAACATGCAGGAGGAGGCTAGGTTACTAGGCGTTACCCACCTAAATGCATTGTGGGATAGAAACCTGGCTACCAAGTCTGTTGTCGTCCCCAGATCTTTTCATCGACTCAATTTCGAGTAAAGGAAAAAAATATTTGTTGATTACGCTTCGTGAACGGATTCCTTCATGAAAGTGTTAAAAGACATGGCTGCCACATTACCCGACGACGGAGATCTAGAGGAAGTTATGCTTATGAACCATCCTGTAAGAAAATCCTCCACTCGAAGAGGCGAGGTTAGCTAAAACTTTCGAAGACGAGGACGAATTTTGATCAGCATCGCCTGAATTTGTCTTCGTCCAGCAATCTTTCGTACCTGAATCGTACCTTGACCGTTTTTCTTTTGCGATTAAGTAACTGTGATTGGTTGAAATTTATCCGATTTTCGATATGTCTTGACCTATGGTTTTTATTTAACCTTTTTTTTTAAGGAAAGGAAACCGCTTTGTACAGAAGAAAGTGAACCAACTTCAACATCACGAGAAAACATTCCCCCAGCTCCGCCGAAGAGCTTTTTGCTGCTTGACGAAACGGAAATTCTTCAGGTAACCTTGGATGGCGAATGCAAAATAGTGATCAGTGATTTATCTAAACCTTAAAAGATGTTAAGAGTATTTGAATTATCCAAGACCGAGGTTTTCTCTTATAACTAACTCTTATAACCAGGCCGGACCAACACTCAAGGTCTTAAAATGTGCTACCTTTCTATAATATCAAGACATGGATAGAAATTCTAGTCTACTCGGATAAGGACGAACAAACCGTAGGTCCCGTCTCCTGCATCTATTAATAATTTGGTTAGGCAAGGGACGTTAAAGAACCCACTCACGAGATTACTATAATGTGGTCTGGCCTGTAAAGTATAGTGTAAGGTAGATAGCAGGTCCACATCAGCAACAGCTGCTACTTATTCAACCTGCTTTACCAAATAAAGGATGTATGTATGTATTACTTCGCTGTGGATACTGTATTTATGTTGACATAATAAAACCGTTTACAACTGAGAATTGACAGCCGTGATGATAATAAACAAAGCGACTTGTTAAGGAGTGATTGGTAAAAATTCATTGAAGAACTATTTAATAGTTCAATGAAATATTTAGAAAAATAGGAAAATGAGAATTAATCACAAAGAAGACTGTATTTATATAAATGAAGAGTGTACTAAAAGTTTGTTTCTTTGATTGCGTAGATAGAGCTTTGTAAGACAGCATGGTTATTTTTTTCATTTGATCATGACAAAAACTATTAATTGATCTGTAATGATTATAAATATGGCTGCCATTTCAAGTGTTAGCCCATCCTTAGAGCGTTGGCCCATTGGCTCTGAAGTAGGGCTGACACCTGAAACTTTATCTTTAGAAACTCTTTGCAATGGCCTGTTTACATTATCAACCCAGTTTATAAAAACCAAATGATAATAACTTTAATAATAACTCCTTCCCCTACAAATGCTGTGCCACAGTTTCATTGGAAACCTACTTTCTTTATTCATAGATCTCATAGATCTCTATACAATTATAGCTTTGGATGTTCAATGTTACTTATGTAGCAGGATAGTGCTTTGGAAAGGAATTCTGTAACATGGGTTAATGTGGGAATTATGTATCTTTTGAGCAAGGCTATTTAAAAGTCAGTTATCAATCACTGTCTTTTTGTATTAGTTTTGGTAATTACATTAAATGCCTTCCATGTCAGATTTTTAGTATTTACAAATATGTCTCTTAAGGTATAGTAAATACTTACAAGGGTCACCACTCTCTTCTTCAGGTGCATACAGTGGAGGACTTCATTGCAAAGCTGTCATGCCATGGTGATACAAGCATGAAAGTTGTCTCCATATTTGGTAACACAGGTGATGGAAAATCGCACACCCTTAACCATGTCTTCTTCTGTGGCAAAGAAGTATTTGGAACTTCACCATCGCAGCTTTCCTGCACAGTGGGTGTTTGGGCTGCTTATGATGAGGGTGATCGGGTAATTGTCTTGGATACAGAAGGGCTATTGGGTATGTCTGGAAATCACAACCAACGCACAAGGCTCTTACTGAAGGTCCTTGCGATATCTGACATTGTCATCTATAGGACAAGAGCTGAAAGGCTCCACACAGACATGTTTACTTTCTTGGGAGATGCATCAGATGCATATCTAAAACATTTTACCAAGGAGCTGAAAGATGCAACAGAGCGATGCCATATGGATGTGCCTCTATGTAGTCTCGGTCCAGCTGTGATTATCTTTCATGAGACACAGCACACTCATTTACTAGGAGTGTCACAGAATGAAAGTAATCCATCAGGTTTGGAAAAATTTTGCAATTTGTTGATAAATTACACTGTAATTCCTCTTACTAATAAATGCTTGGGCGGGGTGGGGTGCTTGATGGAAGTAGGGCTCTTGACAAAGAGGGGGGAAGGGTGTTTACTACTCTCTTGAACAGATTCTGTTTCATGTGTAGCAGAAGCTAAAAAGGTATTACATAAAGTGACAGTAGAAACAGGCTTTCCTACCATTTTAAGAAAATGAGGGAGAAGGGGCAATAATTTGAGAGGGGGGCTTGTTTAATATAATGGCCCAGGGAGTAGGCACTAATAGATATTTCTAGGGGAGGAAACCTATTAGAGGGTGGGTGCCTATTTGAAAATATAGGTACAGTATGTTACTTGGTTTTAAAATCTGAAGTATTCTGAAGGCTGAAATGTAAATTATGATTTATTTTCTGTTCTACCACTTTAAAAGTCTTGTTATAATTTTCTTACTGAAACAGAAAATCTGAAGAGTCCTGATGAGATTTTAAAGGAGAGATTTGCAAATATAGGAAGAATTCCTCATGCATTTAGTTCTATCAAGTACCTAGGGACAAGAACAGAGACTCCACCAACAAACTTCAGGGGATTGAAGCAAGCTGTAAAAGAATGTTTAGTTGACAGCTCTGTGCGCTTGTCACGCTCACCAACTATCATTTATAAAGCTTTGATGGTAATTATTCTAAATTTGTTGAAAACTTTGACACCTAAGAGTCACTTTAGGCATCCTACTTCCCCACAGAATATCACCCCTGAATCACTTAATGTTCAAGCTCACCTAAATCCAAGATGGTGTCTAGTTATCAATCAAGATGCATGTGCTGCATTTTGGAAACAAATGTAACGAGGAAGTTTGCTGTGGATTTATCTTTACAAATCTTTTTAATTCACTATATCTCTAGGTAAGGTTATGATGAAACATTCTAGTCGCCAATTTGGCGACTAATTTTCAGGATTTGATTGCCAAAGTGAAAAATTTAGTTGCATTGGTGCCTGTATTAAGCGCAATTTCACGTCCTGCTCCTTGTACCCTTCCTCTGAAATCTGTACAGGAACAAATTATGAGAGGGGGGGGTTTATTAAATTATCATTATGATAATAAATTAAATTTATGATGATCATTGTGTTACTAGTTTTTTTCATTCAAGTTTCTTTGCTTTCCTTTTCATTAGCTCCTGAATGAGAAGTTCAGTGGGGACATTGAGAGAACAATACCAAACACTTTTCCTGATGAATATTTCACTTGCCAGGCATCATGCCTCTCATGCAAGTAAGCACAAATTTTATGGCTATGATCATGTAGGCTAACTGTCCAGCCAAGGGTGGTCCTGCTATCTGTGACAGTAAGCAACAAAATCACCTGAAACGAAGTCATCACCCAAGTCAATTGAAAAGTTCTTTGTGTGTTTATTGTTGTATTCCTTAATCCTCAAGAGTTACAGGCATCTGATTTGTCCTAAATTTGATACCACAGCTGAGTTGACATTAAGGTCATGAGAATAAAGGAACATGATCGTCAATTAAAGATTGAAGCTATTGATCATTTTAATAAATTCTTCTTATTTGCACCATAGGAATTGTATAGAGAACCGTGTGCAGAATATACAATTGTATTAGTGTTAGAATGTGAAGGGTTAAGTTGACTTTTTGCAAGTCATATATCTTAAGCTTTGAATTTATTGTTTTCTGGAAATGTGTTCAATCATTTGGCTTATTATTAACTTTATGAAAGTTTTGTACTTACAAGGTTTCTCGGTGCTTTCTAACATGATTATCCTTTTTAACTATGGATAAAATTTTTATTTGGTTTTCATACTTGTAGAACACGATGTCAAAAGAGCATGAATCATGAGAACGATGAATCATCAGCACACCACAGTGATGTCAGATGTCAATATCAAGCCCAGTTTGACAACAGGATTTTTACTTGTAGGGTGAGCTGTAAAGCATATCTATGCATATTTTTCCATCTCGACAGACTCTTGGAGTTCTTGCCATAAACTTTCTTCACCCAATTTATCCCTTTAACTCCCATGAGTGTCAGAATTTCATCTTACAATATCAACACAGAATCAAGCAGACAAGTGACGAGAATAAGGAAAAATGTCATCAAGGAGATTATTAGTTGATCCAAGACCAAATTGTTCAACTATTGTAACATCATAAGAATTACATGGCAGACACCAAGAGGAATTGCTAAATGGAGATCTTGGGAGTGAAAGGTTGATTATTGATTTCTAGTTTCAATGGTTATAGTGTGCTTGCTTGTCAACCTTACCAATACTGTAAGCTATAAATTAATGAGCTTAGATTACTCTCTGCCTTTGTTGTCACACTTACTTGTGGTATTCCTGTAAATGATTTGTTGGATATAAACAACATACACTGTATATGATAATCATATGATTACTTTTTGATGTTGTTTTAATAAAGGCCTGTTATGAGAGGGGAAAACAGAATTTGGTTGTTCCAAAAATGTGTTCCTCCAATGATTCATCCTGGCTTGGATTTGCTAAGTATGCCTGGTCTGGGTAAGCACTTGCAATAAATGATTCTTCATAATGTTTAAAAAGTTTGTTTACCTCTAAAATCATTTTCTCTTATAATTACGGTGCTTCAAAAATACACTCAGCAGGGAATTGAAAAGGATGGGGCAAATGATGTACAGTTTGTGCATTTAGGATTAATCCACACGTTAATCACAACAAAAAAATTACTATGATTATCATCATTATTGCTATTATTGTTATTACACATTATTTATTATTTCATATCATTTATTATTTCAAAATCATCTGACGGACATGAAGAGAAGTAAGGTCCAATGCAAAATTTTTGTAGAAGAGCACATCAGTGCTTCCTTTCTTCTTTGATGTTCAATGTGACTTCAATTGTTTTTGTCTCATCAACAATGGCACGTTTATATACAAATACAAACAGTAGCATGTTTGTATACAAATACAAATGATGAAATAATTGAGAGGTTTGAATGCAAGCATGATCTCTCCCAAGTTTTTATCTTCTGGCTCCCTCCATCATGGACCAAACAAACACTTTTTAAGATGAATAAATTTGTAAAGTTATCGTCTTCAGTTTGGTTAGAGAAATTTGCATTCAGAAAAGAGCACTGGTTTTTGGAAAGGGTTTTTCTACTCCTTCACTGACTCAAGCCTTGGATCAATCAAGCCCTAGAATTTCAAATAACAGTGAAGCTGATTATACATTGTCTAACTTGAATGTGCTATCCATTGATGTGAATCGCTATGTCACAGCTGATGTCTCTGTGCATGTCAGGCTATCTCAAGGTGCCATAAGATCAAATGGCACAAAAGCCCTTTTACTTAGTGCCCAAACACTTTTGCAGCTTTCAATGTGGAACTAATTGATGATCTAACATTCAAGCTCAATCCCGGCTCATCATTAGATGGAAAAATTCCAGTTATTATCTCCATGCGAACTCACCGCAGTCGAACACAGCCATCTATTGTTTCATGCAACACCTATGGTATAATGCCTGGATCAAATCATGGCCATTTGAAGAGTGTAAACATACAAAACCTCTCTCACCTCAAATGCACTAAGGGTTCAAATAACATTGGTGGCTTTGTTCCAATTGATTTCTGCCTTATTTAATACCAGATGTATGTATGTAACAATAACATGGTTGGTCCAAAACAAACTGAAGCTAAACACAGGAAAAATCGAGCTACTTGTTCTGAATGCCAGCCATTGCCCATGCCCGCCATGAGCATATGGATATGGTGCTATAGAAATCCTTATTATTTTTATTATTATTATCATTATTATTATTATTGTTATTATTTGTAATTAACAATTATTCACAAAAGTGGAAGTGATTAGAGATGGATATTTATCTCACCACTTTGCAGATCAGTTAATCTCCAATAATGACACTGAGTAGTGTCGCTGATGAATTTTTACTGTATACTACACAGATACCAAAAATCAGTATAGTCTTCTTTAATATACTGAAAAATAGTTGGAAATTAAACCCTATATGCAACTTGGTCTCTTTCTCTGCTTGGAGGTAAATATTACTTGCTATTCACTTCCAAACCTGCCAACTGTGCACACACATAAAGCACTTTTCACGTGTGTGGTATATAATTATATACTGACAGTTGCTATCATATGATAATAATATACTTAGTTACAGTGGTGTGTTTATTTAATAATAATTATCATCATTTGTACCAATACCGAGATGTTACTGTTCAACTCTAAAACTTGCCATGTGTAGTTGTCAGGGCCCCCACAAATTTACATGTTCATGTAACTCTGTATTTATAGGAAGCCAAACTAGTCTGGCTCTTACGGAAACATGTACCAGAATTCAATTTCTCAAGTCAGCAGATTTACAAGTCTTATACCTTTTGACCCCTAAGACTAACTAACAACTAATTCTTCAAGGTCATGCAAAGAACCAAGATGACTCCCAGTAAGAGAGCTCTTTTAAAACAAATTCTCCATGCCAGTACTGTTTAATTTACAGAGAAAAGCATGAATAATATGCATACTGATGTTAGGGTGTAGAGGGTTAAATTAGTTTTCACTGTAATCTCAGACTGACTAAATCTGTTATCGGCAGGTATGTTCTGGAGTGCCCAGGATGTGGTGTAATCTATCGTAGCCGTCAGTACTGGTTTGGAAATGAAGACCCAGTTAAGACTGTGGTCCGGACTGAGCTTCGCCATGCATGGCCTGGGGTGAGGTTTAAAGCTCGACTACTGACAATAAATCTAGCCACTTTTTCCCCAATAATTCATGATAATCTGTCACATTGCCTAAAGAAACAGTTCTTTTGTGTTTGAGTAATATACCACATTTTCTATTGCTTTACCATCATAATAACCATGCAGTATGTTGGGAGAACTCATGAAAAATTTGTAAATCACAAACCGAAGTGATTTATAAACTATTCCAGTGTTCACAACATCCCAAAAGGGCTATTAAGGCAGTAAAGCAATAAAAAGTGTGGTCTATTCCTTCTATAGAATAAAGTTAAAACAAAACACAGTTCAATTTTCTATGAGTTTTAACTGAACAAGTGCAATAAATGAAAGGTTTTTGATCAAAAAGTTCTGGTTATTTCATAAAGAAAATATTCTTTTGCACCTTTTATTGTAACACACTTTTTGTATTCAGCAAGTATTTGCAAAGCTGGATGGTGGCCATGCAGCCAGACGGTTTTTGGATCATATCAGCTATGTCACTGATGCAGTTAGCAGTCTTGGTACTCCATCCAGTCAGGCAGTGACCAACTGGATCACAGACAAAATAGCCCCAGATTATTGGGTGCCAAATTCTGAAATAACAGTAAGTTAAAAAAAAATTGGCTCAGTTTGCAGTTAACTGCCTCTACACTGCAGTCATACACGATGAAGTCAAGGGCTCAAAATTACAGCTTAAGAAACCTGTTACAGTGGCCAATTTACATTATCAACTCAGTTGATAAAACCAAATTATTACGTAATACCTCTCCATTGACTCAGTGCTACAGCTTCATGTATTAGAAACTTACCTCCTCTATTCATGCGTGCAAAGCCTCTCAGTTGGCAGTATCACAGCAGATTAAATGTCACTGTCTGCACTGTGCTGAAAATGTAGGATAGTATTAACTGCAGTTTCTTGTAAGCCTATTGATTTTTTTTAGTGAGAGTAGTTTTTCTCAACTGTGCTTTGTACTTGTGGACTCCAAATAATTCTTGTTTTTTAATCAACCAAAACCAGGAAATATTAATTAGCAACTATTAAAATTTAATAGTTTCAAGCTTGCATCATTTTTACCAAATTTTGGTTGAACAAATTTAAAAGTCAAATTAGTCAAAAAATGTCTTAACTTCTTCTTCTGTCTTATCTCTTATCTTCTAGGCTTGTCAGGTATGCCGTCAATTATTCAGCGATGGAAAGACTAAGCACCACTGTCGCGCCTGTGGAGGTGGGGTCTGTGATGCATGTTCAACCAATAAGAAACCTGTACCAGAACGAGGCTGGGGTGAGGAACCAGTTAGGGTGTGTGACCGTTGTTTTGGAAAAACGTCAACCGTAGAGGCTCAGCCTCAACCCACATGTGACTTAAGGTAAGGTTGTCATTTGAAATAAATTAACAGCAAAACACTAATCCAGAACTTTAACTCCCAGAAGTGATTAACATGTAACTTCTATCTATGATATCCATATGTTATCGAGCAAATAGGTAACAAGAGTACTCAAACTTGTCAGCCAGATGTTTTTATCTTGATCTACCACCAAACTGTTGTAATTAATTTAGAGAGAAATGTGTGGCAGCTAGAGGGGAGAATTAACAATTAGATCGTGAGTTAAAGGGTTGAGCTTGGTTGTGATTTCTCTTCAATATTAAATACATATTTTGTGCTCTTTTAAACAGTGATTTATCAGATGCTCTGGAAGAGGAAACTCCTCAAGAAATTGTGCACCCTGAAGATGACCACAGTCTGTATTCTGAAAACCCTTTTGGACCAGTAGCTGCCCGAAAAGTAACAGAGGTTGTTCAGTCTGCTGTGGGTGTTTTAAAAACAGCCATTGTTTACCCTAAGGGGTTCATCACTGATGCAGCAAGGCCAGGATACTGGGTACCAGACTCTCAAATTTTAGCCTGTAACTGTTGCCAAACTGAATTCAAGGGAAGTGATACCAAACATCATTGCCGAGCCTGTGGTATGGGTGTCTGTAGCAACTGTTCAGAAAGTAGGAGACCTGTGGCTTTAAGAGGTTGGGATCACCCAGTCAGAGTTTGTGACCAGTGTGCTGCTAAAAAAGGACAGCTTTAGGGTCAATTTGTTTTCAGTGAGAAGCCAGCCATGAGAAACTTCCAGCTTATTGGCCCTTTATGATCAAGTTTTTATTAATACTGCAACCTTGTGAGGTTTAAATCAAACTTACTTCTTCATGGCCTTGCGTGGAGATGGAGAACATAATCATTGGCTGTGAGATCAAGTCTGATTTAAGTCCATGGCATCCTTTGTTTGAGGCCTTTTAAACCAAAACTAGAGTCTTTTGAGGGCTTTTTACGTAAAAGAAATAAAAACCAACAATAAGGTTATCACAGGGGCCTGGCAGACCTAAGAATAATAACCCAAAAAGGCAATGGACTCTTAAACTGAACACATGCAAACTGTCGGATATGCAGGAAAATGTTCACGATCAGGTCTTGATTGGTTTTTTAAGCTACTGCATTTGATTGATTGAGAGGGTTTCCAGAGTTCTATAGACCATTCATTGAGAGAAGCAAAGTAAAACCGGAGCAATGCTGGTTTAATTTGGATGCTAAAAAATCCTACATTATCCTATTCACCTTTGCTATCTTAGGAGAGATCAAATGAGTAATTTCTCTTAACAGAATCAATAAATCTATAAACCAAAAGGTGATGAGAGTAAAGAAAATTATCAATCTTATGATAAAGCGATCTTTAATTTACTACCACCTTCTCAGAACTAACATTGAAAGAAATGTATAGCGGATGGTAAGGAGAACTTACACTGCAATCCAGGGAGTATAAGGGTATATGGGACCTACAGTGGTAGGTTCTTAGAACGTTTTGAAAATGCTATGCCTGAATGTTGGAAGAGGCTACTGCTAATTTTATTGTACAATAGTTATACTTTTAAGAAATAATACTACAGGTGTGAGATATTATAATTCAAAATAACTAAATCCAACATTTCTCTCCTTATAAAAAGTCTGGGTGAAATTTTTTCCATGTATATTTTCATGTTTGTATTTCTTGTGAGCATTTTCTTTAGTAGGCTTATTTCTAATTTTTGTTAGCTAAAATTGATTATAAACATTTTTCAGGCTGTTCTGTGCTTAACTTTCTTTGGGATTTTCCCTAGTTTCCAGGCTACTTCAATTTATACACATTAAGCAACTGACAAAACAGTACTTAGGACCATTGTGACTGCTCTCACAAAATAAACTGGCTGAGAAATAGAAATCATGTGAAAGGTAACATCAGCTCATAAGTAAAAGAGCTGTTCCTAGGAGTTTTCCTGTACTCTGCCTTCATCCCATTGGGTGGGATGCCAATCTATTGCAAGGTTAACCCTTTCCACTCTAAAATCAGTATGGATATTCTCCACACTGTTCTCCATGTTTTCCTAGGAACTGAGGAGGAGAATTGGTTTAACAATCCAGAGCTTTAGTCGGTGACCAATTCCTTGATTTGAGTGACCTTAATGTTTGATCCAGGGGTGATATTGTAAGAGAAATTAGATGCTTGTCACTCTCAGGAGTCAAAGGTTTAATAAGTGTTTGTTTAGCAATTTTTAATTGTTTAATTCTTGTGGAGGACAATGGATTCTGAGAATAGGAAGGGAAAGGCTTTGAGCTTTTCAGTGGATGGGAGGGATGTCAAAAACCAAAACAAAAGAAATTACAACAGCCTATTGGAATATAAGAAAACATCACGTGGGGCCAATTGAGATTTCAAAGCTACCACAAGCAAACTGCCTAGGGGCTGAAATAGATGAGACATGTAATTGGTTCAGAGAGCAGTGCAGGTTTTTTAGCTGGAGAAAAATCAGGGGAGGAGAAAAGTCACCCGTCTTAATCTCAAAATTGGAAAATGTGTGCTGACCTCGTACTGAGTTATCGGCAAAACAAAATAATAGGGTTTGCAGCGATTTTTTCTTTCATTTTAGAGATCCCGAAGCACCGTTTATTGGTCAGACAGGTGCAGTATCATAAATTTAGTTTGAAATGTTTATGTCTCCGGGAGAAAACTAAAGTGAAAAAAGTGAAAAGCGATAAAAAGTGAATTGTATGTGGCTTTCATTTCGAAGAATATCATTTTAAGAGAGAGTCTGACCGTGAGGGAAGGGAAAATGGTGACCAGCAACGGGAGATTAGGCTCTGAGAATCAGTAGGAGATTTGCAACGAAAGGGTAAACAAAGTGGGAGAGAGGAAAGAGCTTAGAAAAGAGGACAGCTATGTAAAACGGGCGTTGTGGTGGAGAAACAAGATTAGTAATGGAAGATTGTTACATCTGAGCAGCAAGGCTAAGGTAGTTATCAGATAAGTGCCCCGCCCGAACTTAGATGAGCTGATAAGTCCAGAACTGTGCAACTACTTCTCACTGAAGGCGAAGAAAGATAAAACTGCAACAAACTAGTCTACTTTATTGAAGTATTGTTTCAATTTCATTTAGGCCAGAAAGCGTAGCTGTTCCTTTCCTTTAAGGATTATAGTGATACACATAACAATCCAAACGCAGTGGGAGAGATTTTGACCCGTCCACCTCTTCCTCAAAAGATACACCTTCTGAAATTTTAGGATAATATTGGAAAACATTATTGGCCAATAATAATTTCTACGACAAAGTAAGCGAGTTGGACACCTCTGTTATCAGAATATTTGAATGCTGTTTGACATGCCGTTTTACATGAGAGAATTTTCAACTTGGTATCTCAAATTTTCCTTTGTAGGCTTAGTAGAAAGAATGGCTAAAGGTTGATCCAGGGTAAGAACCAAAGTTATACACGGACATAAGTCCCTATCCGAGGGGTTGCGCTTGAAACAGGAAAAATATGTACAATGACTATTAGACATATTATAAGTTTTTTTTTTGCGAAAACTGGGTCACATTTATTGTACCAAGATGTATCCCATGGCTTTGATGTGTTTGTCTCCATTATCTGGAGAAACATCGGCCTCGTTACCGCACGTGTTTGAATTGCCAGGTCTCCCTGTACAATACCAATTCTGGCTTTAGAATATCCACTCCAACTACAAACGACATTGAACCCTTCTTTGTTGCAGTTGTACTGTAACGAGCCTTGGGAACCAATCAACTTTTTCCACTTCTCACGACCCAGTGAGGTGGCGCAGTATTGGCCATCAGCAATCAGTGAGTGCAGAGAGTCAGCATGCTTGTGGATGACAATGAACCTGAGCTGTTGGTGGATCTTCATACCGAGTCAGATCTTGGAGAAGGATGTGTTCCAGTAGGTGGGTAGCTTTGATTCCTGTCTGTCGAACCCAGCCTCCCCTCCGGGAAGATTGTATCCTTGATTTTTTATCCAGTAACGTTTACTATAATGGAATGTGGTCTGAAATATAGGAGCAATTCAATTTTTTTTATTTACTCCGAATTAATGGATAGTTGCTGTAGAATTCCTGTTGTGTATCTGCATTTATTGATCCATTACTCATTTGTTTTATCGTTGAATTGACCTTGGTGTTTACGGCATCGTGTCGTGAAGACTAAGGTCATTTTTTTTCCAACACGGACCTTGCACCGTAGATCAGTGCATGACATACCTATCTAGTTATAAGGCGTTCTGATGCTTTTTCATTTGCCCGCCAATCAAGAGGCATTGATATGATAATAATTTGTGAAGTGAATGAAGGATGATAGACGTTGTTATTCCTTAGAGAAATTCTTATCTCTTTTTAGATATGACAAAAACAAATTGGAGTTTGTTTGTGTCGCGATAAAAGTAACCTGATCCCCCGATAAGACTCTGTGGTATTCCTATGATCCATGATTCCTCCTCATTGGCAAGTTGGTCGGCCCTAAATGTTCTACAGTCCTCCAAGAATCCTCCTCTGCCTATCCCCTTCCCCTCGCTGTGTAGGGGATGAGCAATGACAGCTCTTTAAATCAGTGTGATATCTACCGTATCCATTAACTAGCGTGGAACTTCAACTCAGATACGATATATTCTTTGTTCCGAACAGCTTTTAACCGAATTATGATCTTAATGATGTGTATTTCTTATCTAGCTGTTACATGATATTAAAGAAAAATATGTTAGCATATATTTATGCATTCTTTTTCATTCTTTTTCAACAGTCACTACACACAATAAGTCTTGAACGAGGTCTGTTCTTCATGTATTACCTTCTCGATGAAACACAAGAGGCATACATAAGTTACATGCACGTTTTTAACTTGCAACGTTTTGAAAGAGAGCGAAAGAGGATTTATTCAGGAAATGAATTATTTAATGAAAGTATGCACCTTTCTGCCGTCAATCTTCATGACTGGCGTCCATCCTCCATCTCCACACCCAAACTTTCCCATGTGACAGAAAACGGACGATGTTTGGGAGTCAACAAGTAGGGTAACCACACCACTCACATTGGATCTTTTAAATCAAAATTAAAAAAAAAAAGAAATACAACAAGTAAAGAAAACAATGATGGTGAAATAAGGCTTGAGCTTATAAAAATAATTATCATAGCTACAACGGTGGCAATGAAAATGACAATGGGAAAGAAAGTGAGTGATAACAATAATAATTCAACAAATAAGCTAATGAAAAGTTGATCCTTCAGACGTCAATATCTGCGGAACATAAACACCAGCCTTGATAACAAGAATGCTTGGTTATTTGTCCTGGAATCCAGCCGGTGTGCGAGGGCAAAGGATATTTTTCACTTCTTCTGTGAGGACAGTAATGCACTCTATTGAAATAAATCAAGGTTTAAAGGAGGACTTTCTTCGCATATAGAATGTGGTTTGAAAATTGGGCTGTATTCGGTGAAGAGATGGGCTTAAACTGTATGCGGGCAAGCGCGAAATTTAATGTACTATGAAAATAATATCGAAAATCAAATCTACTTGCATCTCATGAATTTCTTTACACGAGGAAGCTCCTGCAAGAAGTTTAAAAATACCTTTGATTAGAAGAAATTGTAAACTTGTTTTAGCTACATCTTATTCCATCATTGGGAAGCTATACTGACTGGGTAAGCCTCCTTCACATACTGAATAAAACGTTTTTCTTTCCTCATGATCACTACACGTCATTTTTGCTTTGTACAGTGTGAAAACTGCATTCCAAATGAATCGATCAACATACTCCTTGTAAGTCACAAGCAGTACTGATGAGCTGCAGAACAGTCATATATTCCCTCTTTTTTAATCCGGAAAGTTCTACAGGTGGCTAATTATCTTTCTGTTTGTGGTTTATGAATTTTTACCACTGTTTCTTTCTACTTTCAGTGCAGCTCAGAAGAAGATATGTGAAGACCTATAAGGAGAAGGGAGATGACAAGATGAAATGACAAAAAAAACAAAAATTCGCCATTGAATTGTGTTGGTGAGGAAACCGCAACAAAGGCCTGCTGTCCTTCGGTGTTTACAGACTAGTAAGAGAGCTTTAAGTTATATGAGGACAGAAAAAGCTCTTCTCTTCTTTGAGACCCAATTAACAAGCAGCGCGGTAAAGATTTTCCTCGTTGTTGTTAACCTGAAAGTCTCACGATATCAACATAATAGTTGCGTTTACCTCTTTCGCAAATCGGACCTTCAAATCAAGCGGTACACAGACACCGATAACCTTTCTTAGTAAATCCGCTTTGACAAGTAGCATTGTTCTGACAAGGATTTTGAACGCAATTGCTCTGACAGAAGAAACAGACCGTTGTCATTGTTATCGTCATTATCATCATTATAATCATTTTCATCATCCAATAGTCAACCACTACCGTCATCAACATCGTCATCGTTATCCTTGTCATCATAGTTGTCCTTTTATTTCTATATTTCTCCAATAACTTTAAATGCTTTGTCTTTGAAGCGATTTTGGTGAAGAGCACAGACACAATATTACTGCTGTCTTGAAAGAGTGTAAACAACTCAAGTTCGTAATTTGAGATGAACATGAGACTAAGCGTTTTTAAAAGAAAAACAAAATATACCAATCTGAATCTTAAATTGAAAGTAATATTTACCTCAGCTGCGTGATAAGAATACATTTCTTGGTCTATCAACTTTTCTTCGTGTCTTTCATGAGTAGCATTGTTCAGTTCACATTTATAGTTTCCATATCTATCTGCCCGTGTATAAAGATTAATGCTGATGCAGTCGGGCTCCATATAACACAAGTTTTCACAGAACCTGGAAACTGTTATTTCCGCGGTGCGAATTGTGTGGTTTATGAGGCGTTTCCCGTCAAATGCTTTCTCAGGCCCGAACTCCAAATTGCGACATTGGTCTGCGATGCAGACGTCTTTGAAATGAGAATAATAAACACATTAAACGTAATATTATTGCTTATGATGATATGATGAGAATTACGAAAAATGTAATAAGTGATATTTTTTCTTCGTGTGTTTTATTTCTATCTTGTAGAAAGTGTTTAAGAACAAGTCTTTGTAAGAATCAAACATCTTGGGAAATGAAAATTTTCAACCCCCCTTCAAATTTTGCATGCAGTTAGGCACTCAGGGGGATGCAAAAAAATGCACTTTTTAAAGGTTGTAGCACTCTTGTTGCCATGGTAACAACGGCTGCTTGTTCGAGACCTTAGGCCTCGTTTTCATTCAAAAACGTCGCAAAAAAAGAGTGAAATGTTTATTTCTCCAGCTCAAGCTAGATACAACATTACAAATTGGCACGTCTACCATACATAGTAACATCATTCGTCTTCACTTTGTTACATTTCATTTTCCTTGGGAGTGAATGTAAACACACCAATAGATTATTTATCTTGGTACTGTTTCGGTCATTTTTGTTGTCGGGTAAAACGGGGAAAACGTTTATCTGAATTTCCCCAAAAGTACACCGATTCTGGAACTGAAACTACCCACCTACCTGGTTATAATATTCTAGTTTTTAAATATGTAAAAATCTCTGCGGGCTTACTTCTACTTTTTATAGGGGCAATTCGCGAAAAAAGCTCAAAATCAGATGTTGCATAATTTAGCGATGTTTACATCTACTGTTCTCAACAACAAACGTTTCAGACAAATGAAACGTGCGAGGCTTTGAAAGAATGTTATCTTATAAGCAATATCCCGAAGAGAAATCTCGCCTCTGGTTGTCATCTTTTAAAAAAATTGATCAACCTTCATCACCATTATTTTCCATACTTTTCTCCTGGATATCTTTTACAAGCTTAAAGAAAGATGAATATAACGCAATGTCCCAGTGATTTACACGAGAGGAAGTCAAAGGTCTCTTAAATTTTCCTCTGAGGTGGCCGGCTCATCAGGAAGAAGAGGGAGATCGTTCGGTCCAATAACGTTAGTCTGCAGAGATTATCAAGGTAATAACTGAGAAGATTGTGCCCTTTAGTTCATCAGTGACAGCATTAATTATTTCAAATCTGTATTTCTTGCGCATTTTATTGTCAAGGGAAATAAATCTCAAGGCTCAAAGGCAATATAACGTTCGAGCAAGTGAAAGACTCCCTGAAAAAAGCTAAATTTTTGGAAATTGATTGTGATGAAATCCCTGTTCCGTTTGCTGTACTGCAGAGATACCGAGTAGTTCAAAATCTCCACTTTGTGATGAATTTCGCGCGAGTCGTACAAATTGCTATTGTGGCGACTGGGTTTTTCATGTAATACAGCCGCTGGAAAGTTGCGATTTCTGCTCTCAAATTCTTAGTATTTACGAGCGTTCAATTAAGGTTTTCTCCTTTATTTTTTGGTTGGTTTTACTTAGAAAGCGCGGAAATCTGCTGATATATCAAAAATGCCCATTTCTCGTCTTCTTTGGGGCGACCGATGGAAACTTCATGGAGAAATACAGCGTCACGCCATCGTGACAACGTACATGTTTATGACAACTGATCGGTGTGAGGATAGTTTCGTGTAGATCAGCCGACTTCAACATGTTTTAAATGACACACAAGTATAACAGTGTATCTTCAGAGGACTTCGAATTGCTCAAATTCCCATGAAAGAAGGTGCAGCACTCGGAATCTGGATGATATGCAGACGATTTGAGGTATATGTTTGTAGTTACGTCGGGTAGTCCTCCATGAAGGTTGATCAATTTTTTTAAAAGATGACAACCAGAGGTGAGATTTCTCTTTGAGATATTGCTCATAAGATAACATTCTTTCAAAGCCTTGCATGTTTCATTTGTCTGAAACGTTTGTTGTTGAGAACATTAGATGTAAACATCGCCAAATTATACAATATCTGATTTTGAGCTTTTTTCGCGAATTACCCCTATAAAAAGTAGAGGCAAGCCCGCAGAGATTTTTACATATTTAAAAACTAGAATATTATAACCAGGTAGGTGGGTACTTTCAGTTCTAGAATCAGTGTACTTTTGGAGATATTCAGATAAACGTTTTCCCCGTTTTACTCGACAACAAAAATGACCGAAGCTGTACCGAGATGAAAAATCTACTGGTGTGTTCACATACACTTCCAGGGAAAATTGAATCAATCAGTGTGAAGACGAATGATGTTACTATGTATGGTAGACGTGCCAACTTGTAACGTTGTATTTAGCTTAAGATAGAGAAATAAACATTTCACTCTTCATCTTGGGGCTTTCAGTTATAGAACCAATTACAGCGAAAAAATCATACGATACTTTAACGATTTGACACACTGCAGCAACTATAAAGTTTAATGAACTGTGAATTAACTACAATGTTCTAACTATTTTTAGGAAATTACGCTAAAAAACGGGCACTACATGTAATAAAACATCAATCTGTAACCAATAGAATCCGAGTCTATTTTAAGGTTTTCCACTCTTTTAATAGCTACAAAAGTACACAAGATCAATCAGTTCAGTATTCAAAGACGTGGATTTTAACTGTTCCATGTTCCAAGAGCAAGACATTGTCACTGCTAGAAAATTTTGAGCTCGATGATCACTTAATGCCAATGAATATTCGAATCGTTTTAGTCATTTCTAGTCTAAAACAATGTAGTTTTTAGGAGAACAAGAACGATGGCTTTCGAGGGACCATTGCTGTTTCTGTTGCATAAAAGCTAAGTGGCAATTAATCACAATTCAATCTTTTTTTCGGAAATATTTTAAAACTTTGTTTGATATAGATGAGCTCGTTAATATTTCATTACGAGATTTGGGGATGTCTACATATCTCTTTAATAGTTTAAATTTGTAGTTACTGTATATTTAGGGCTTTTTCACGACCGTTTGCCTGGACTGTTTTGTCGGAATAAAATGTCTCCAAGGTGAAACAAGTGTGGTTTACGGACTTAAAACAACAGTGTAGTTTTATTGCACCAATATGTACCCCATGGCTTTGATACTCTTGCGTCCATTATCTGACTTTGTTTCGATTGCCTCATTTCCACAAGATTTTGCGTCATGAGGGTAACTTCCTGTACCAAATCCAATCAAAGAGTTGCACGTGTGGCAGTCGTTCTGCCCATCGCTAATAATGCCAATTCTGACTTTAGAACGATCAGTTCGACCACTAAAGGCATTGAATCCTTCTTTGTTGCAGTTGTGCTGTAAAGAGGCGTCGCTGCCAATCAACTTTTTCCACTCGTCACGACCCAGCAACGTGTTTCGGTATTGGCCATCAGCAATTATTGAGTGAAGAGAGTCAGCCAGCTTGTTGAAAACAATAAATCTGAGCTGTTGGTTGATCTTCATTCCAAGACAGATCTTAGAGAAGGATGTGTTCCAGTAGGTGGGTAGCTTTGATTCTTGTTCGTCAAACCCAGTCTCTCCACCGACAGGATTGAATTCATCGTAATTACTCCAATAATCTGCATGATAACAGAAGGTGGTCTGAAATAGAGAAGCAATTAATTTTTTAAATTTTTTTTTCTCCGAATTTAGGGGTTTTCTGCTGTTGACGTCCTGTAATTTATCTGCTTTTAACCGAATTATGATCTTGAAGGTTTATATTTCTTATTTAGCTGTTACATGACACCAGAGACAAATATTTTAAGATAAATAAGACATTCTTTTTCAGTCACTACACACAACAAGTCTTAAAATTTACATTGAACAACGTCTGTTCTTCGTGCATTACCTTCTCGATGAAAAACAAAAGGCATACATGTGGAACAGGCACGTTTTTTAACTTTTAACTTAAGTTTTTAAAGAGAGCGAGTTTATGCACCAGATGAATTATTTAATAAAAGTATGCACCTCTCTGCCGTCAATTTTCATGACTGGCGTCCATCCTCCATCTCCACACCCAAACTTTCCCATGTGACAAAAAACGGACAACGGTTGGGAGTCAACAAGAAGAGTAACCACACGACTCACATTGGATCTTTTGAATCAAAATGAAAAAAAAAAAAAAAAAAAAGGAAAAAAAAGGAATACAACTAGTAATAAAAACAATGATGGTGAAATAAAACTTGAGCTTATAAAAATAGTTATCATAGCTACAACGGTGACAATGAAAATGATAATGGGAAAGATACTGAGTGATAATAACAATAATGATTCAACAAATAAGCAAATGAAAAGTTGATCCTTCAGCAAAAGACGACGTCAAAAAACTGCAGAATATAAACAACAGCCTTTGTACCAACAAGGCTTGGTTATTTATCCTGGAATTAAACAGGTTTCTGGGGGCAAAGGATATATTTCACTTCTGTGAGGATAGTAATACACTCCACCAAAGTGAATTTAATTTAGACGGACTTTCTTCGCGTATGGAATGTGGCTTGAAAATTGGGTTATATTCGGTGACGTGATGGACTTAATAATAATAGATAATAAATAATCGGATATCAATTCTACTTACATATCCTTGTCATAAATTTCTTTACACGAAGTAGCTTCTGGAAGTAGTTTAAAAATACCTTTGATTAGAATTATAAAATTATATTGTCTCTCGTGTGTTAGTCTTTTTTTTCTTCCTGGCTGAACTGAAACATTTTCTTTTCTAGAGGACTTTCTCGAGTGGCATGCATGCATGTTACTTCAAATCCTACAAAAGAAGAGAGGGTATCATTATCATTGATAATAATTATTTCCATCCAGTCTTTAAAGTTACTAATTAACTGATGGCTCTCCAAGTAACTAAAGTAACTTGTGTTTGAAGAGTGATTAATCATTCTGCTCTTTTTCCTGCTCAAATTTCATGGTATCAACCCACGAATTACTCTTCTCTCTTATCATAAGAGTTGTCTGATTTCATATATTTGTGAATTCATGCTCTGTTTGCTATGTGCTTTGCGTTACGCGTTATGGCTACTGCAGTGCGTTGACATTTTCATCAGAAAGTTCGTTCATAGGAACCCCTCTTAACTTAATGTGTACAAAAGTCAACGTTTGCATGTACCTTTGCATCCTCGGCCATTCCCAGTGAATCCGGGCTTGCATGCGCAGTAGTAAGACCCTTTGGTATTGTTGCAAAAGGCATGGGGACTGCAATTGTGAATCCCTTTGGCACACTCATCGATGTCTGAAGACAACAAAAGAAACATGAAGCGAAGGAAACAAACAGATGAATTAGTGGGTCAGGTGAAATTGCAGGTAATCATTTGCTTTTCTTTTCAATCTCATAAGTACTAAATCAAATGTATTCGTATGTAGGTCCATTGTAGTTATATTTTAATCCACTTCACTTACCCACAATTAGAATTACTTTCAAATCTTAGACGCCAGTTTCAGATTAAAGAAAAAAGCATGTGAGTTTACTTTCCTCTGTGTGTCTCTCTCTTTCATTCTCTCTTTGGTTTTTTTTTTTTTTTCTTTTTTTGTTGCCTAGAAATGACGGTGTAAATGACACATGTTCATGTAATTAGTGTTCGACTTGAATGCTTCTTAATAATTGAATTGAAGATCTCACTTGAACGATATAAAGGATTTTTTTGTTTACCTGTTTGGCACCTCGGACCTTTGTATCCGGCAGGACATAGACACTGATAAAGTTTGTCTGTAAAACTGCTTCGACAAGTGGCGTTGTTCGCGCAAGGATTGTCAGCACACATGTTCTTGCGAAGAAAGAGAAAGATAAAAAAAGAACTTTCACGCTCAGTATGACACGACTTAGCTCAAACAGCGTACTATGGAAGGGTGTTGAAAAGTCACACATGAACTGCTTTTGCAATATTCACTTAAGAGAAACTTATACAATAGCTATTGGATGCAAAGATTGTTTTTCGTTGGAGTTAGGTCGTGGTTGGCACACCTAAGAATATGAAGGGATGAACAAATGAAATGAGTGAATAGAGAAGTAAGCGAATTAACGAGAGAGCGAGTGAAATGATAATCGGAAAAAGCACAACTCATTCAGTCTTGAAGGAAGACGAACGTTCACTCCGGAAGAAGGCACGGGTAATTATTTTAATCCCAAAAGAAGTTACTGATCATTCATCTTGGATGCCGCTTCCTTAATTATGGCTGCAATTAATATCTTATAAAGTGTTTCCCCGGACAGGCTACTTTAAAATATGAAAAAAGACAGAAGAGAGTCCTTACCACGATGTGATAGTGATATGAGCTTTCGTTTTGTCTGAATTCCTTGGGGTTGCTGTACTTATCAGATGACAATAACTCACACCACAGTCTTATTTCGAGGGCCAAGTTAACAGAAATACAAGAAGGATGTTGAAGGCATCTCATGGTACACTCCAAGTCGTCGTGCACTGAGAATATTCCAACTCGAGGCACATTCAAATAACGGAACTCATCTATAGAAAACAGACCTCGTCTAACGTCTGTTACTCGGTGGTCCGCAGTGTTGTTTTCTGATGATCGGGTCAAGGGAGCATTTTCAGCGAATAGCTAAATACATCTGTCACAATTTTTTAATGAGGTACTCTTTTTATAATTTAGCAAATATTTTGTTCCGTTACTTATTTAATCACAACTCTTCCCAAAAACTGTTAGGGTAATGCATATTAAAGAAGTTAGTAAATACCACACCTTTTTCTTAAATGCGAATTTGATCTTAGGGGCGTGTGCATAAATGTTATAATATCTTTTCAGTCTTTCCTGCAAACGTTTCCCTAAAAAGCACTCTCTCTTTTACGCTGCACAATTAATATCATTTTTCTTTTAAAATTTGGAAAGTTAAACTACTAAACTACTACACTTTTATTTCAATGACACTCAGTAAACTATAAGACCGCGAGACAGCTCTAGTCTCAACTATGATAATCTGCAGAAAAGAAGTATTTCCTTCTGTTTTTCAGTCGATCGGAGGCAAACGTGAGGCAGCGCAAAGGACGGTAACACGCGAAGAAAGAGACGGAAAAAAAAAACTAAATAACTTATTAATTAGATAGGATTTAGTATATTTTTTCTTACTGAATGCTATATAAGTCACAACTATACACTGAGTGCCGCTCTCGCTGACAGCGGTCCTCTCGACTTTCCGTCGAAAGTAAAGGTTTCCTTTTTCTGTTTTTTCTTTTTTTTGCTCATGGAAAGGGGTCAGGGCATGTTTCAAAAATAGTTATGTCGCTACAAGCCAAAGTTTATTTTTGGTTAGACCACCCAGTTTTTAAGAAAGAATTCTAAAAATACAGGCGTAAATCGGGCCAAAAAAGCATATCAGTGCATAGTACTTACACCAACGAGGTCACCGTTTGCCTCAAAACCGCAGGTATCTCTCTAACTTTCATCTACTAACATCTTTAAAACAACGCAAATCCGCGTGTTTGCTCAATTGCGCTCGAGATATCACTTTGACCATCTAAACTTTGTTTGTTTATCTAGCTGAAGATTTTAGGTTTCCATAACAACTGAATGGAAAATGAATCCCAAGTTGTCCTAAAACGTCGCATAAACATAATCCGTGTGGTAACGCTTCCTTGACTTACAAAGTAAACAAAGGTGACTGGATGGCGACTCCTCGATAATTATCGTTGAATCAGGCCAGGAGCCACGCACAGTGTGGAGAAGATCAAAATTAAAAATTGATACCCTGGTCCTTACAGACATTCCGCGTAGCTTACAAGGACACACTAACAAGCAAAAATATGTTTTTAGTGTTATTTACAAAACAACACGCATACACTCTGAAAGAATTCTTGCAGTTTCTTCTGATAATTTGCACGGAACGCAATGAACTGGCCCTCCTTTCTGCAAAATTGTTTCCATCATTAATTATTTTATGCTGTTATGGACCACAATATTCTTGAGTGACATACTAAACATTTAAAATAATATCCGGCTTGATATATAGTGTGATGTGTTATGCTAATTTGTTTCCCTCTTTTGCTGGTAGAAAAGTGAAACCAAACATCAGCTAATGCAACGAATTAGAATCGAAAGTTATAAAATTAATTAATTGGAGAATTTTACATTTTACAAATAATTTCATCTCTCGAGATGTTTACCTGTGGTTTCATGGAAGGCAAATATTATGATGGCTGTGGGAGATGGTTGCAAATATTGTAATAGATTACAAGCCATTACAGACCATTGAGATTGTTGCGTAGACTATCCTAGAAGGTGTTTAGTGAGCGGCATGAGTCTCTTAGCCGAGACGAAACACTAAGTTTATATTCAAAACAGAAGGATATGGAAAGCTTATAGTTTGAGAAATTCTGTTGGTCAGCATGTCATGTGATCACGTCATGTGTAATAAACAAACCTAACTGTCTTTAATAAAACTCTCATTACCGTTACAAAGGATAACAGTCGAATTAACGCTTGTATGAAAGTCTATCCTGGTGCTGTTTACTCAGCTTAAAAGATGGTAGTCCAATTGAAAAAGGTGTTAATTAACCAACACTATAATGATTGGAAGATATTTCACCGCTCTTCTGTGTTTTTCTGACAGCTAATTATAATTCTAAATCAACATCTCACTATGTCATTTCACTAGACGAGCTGGAATTTGACAGTTCCGCTTTTCTCTTCCGTCTAGCGGTTGTGTCTTTGAGACAGCTAATTATAATTCTAAATTGACATCTCGCTAAGTAAGTAAAATAGGACGAGCTTGAATTTGACAATTCGGTTTTTTCTTTCGTGGAATGGTTGTGTTATTGAGACAGTTAATAATAATTCTAAATTAACACCTCAGTAAGTAAGTGAAATAGGACGAGCTTGAATTTGACAGTTCGGATTTTCTCTTTCTAATGAACGGATATAAACTGTAGATTTTCTTAAGAGAATCTTCTTAAAGTACAATTTGACTGGCTAAGTCGAGAGCCGGAATCTCCGGAAAAAAAAAAAACAGTTGAAAGTGGTAATTTGTGGACAGTTTGTGTCGGCAAAGGAATAAGAGTACTGCATTTCTACATTTGTTCTCACGCCCAAACAAAAATAAACGGCTGGAAATGGGGCCCATCCTTTTATAAGTCTTACCTTTAGTACTAATCTTTCGAAATATTCACGCCATATTCTTAAACATTTTTGCAAATCCGCTCTAATTTACCCTAATCTAAATATCACTTTTGCATTTTGAAAAGAATTTTCGCGAGAGTCATGAGGAAGAGTTGAAGACCACTGGACCTTGTAATTTTAAACAAATTGACGTTTCCCTTCTTTAGCTCATACGTTTGTGATGATCAATGTCTGAAAAGCTCTCACATCAGTTAAAAAAGCAAAACAGAACACACACACATTTGCTGTAAGTGGAAAAATTGTACTCATAGGGGCAACCTTAAATAGTCCTGGCCATAGACAGTTTTGTCTTTACCATGAAACATGGCGTCAAGGTCCAATTTTTAAAAACTAGGCTAGCCCCACATTTTAATCCCACATTTTTGTTTGTGACATTTATGTCCCTCTATACTCAGTTCACATAGAAAAAGCACACAAAGAGCTTTGCGTCAAACAATTTAAAGAGCAGTTTGAATGGCGTCGGCTGAAATGTATGGGATACATGATTTAAGTTGAGCTGCAATGACTTCATTATTTGGGACGGTTGAAGACACACAATCAATCATTGAAATACCCTTCTTCTGAACTAGATTTCCTAGTTTTCTGCATCGTATTTCCTTAAACCCGCATTTTCTTAGGTAATCCGAGTTAAAATTTATTTTTGGATGTATATTATTATCAGGTAAAGGTATTGCATTATAGAATTCCATTTCTGCGTGACCTTGCGTAAATCACTTGTCGAATTACCGTACTAACACTCGATAAGCTGGAAACCACTCCGCTTCGCGTCATGGTTTCCTACGCTTATCTCGTGTTCTCCCAACCTCCCGCGTGTTTACATCAGGCTATGTAAACACGGAAACCATTTTACATTTCTTTCAAGAGTTGCTCGAGGCATAGCTGAGAGCAACTCTTGAACGCACAGCTGACGTATGAACCAATTGTTTTATAACATTTCAACCTGATGGAATTTTTTTTTTCTCGAGGGATTTGTTTGCTGACGTCATGAGCGTGCACAATAGGAATATGAAGCACTCTCGCGCAATTGAATTTGATTAAACGTCTTCGTGTCTCTTGAGGTCATATTTTTGTTGTCTTAAATGGGAAAGATCGAATAATCATGAAGAAAACGAGAATCATGGTAAAATATTATAGTTCATTTTAAGAAATTACGCGAATAAGAGAGGATTGAACAAATTGAAACAAGGACGAGAATGAAAAATAATATTCAGCAGAAAATGCAAACAAAGAGTGGTTCAAAACAGATGCCCCATGAAAGTGTGTGGAAATGCGACTTATAAAATATATTTTCACAACACACACTGCTATGAAGATTTTCCGGTGAAATTTTTGTGCAATGATATAGCATGGGTATCATCGATCATAAATCTTCGTCATTACGTTTTGGGAAAAACGGCATATGAAAAAACGTTGTGCGCCTTATTAGTTTTCATTTCTACTATAGTAGAAGGGCTCGCTTCATCTAGGGCGGAAGGGATCTAGGGGTAATAATGGAATAAGGAGAAAATCTAAGAAAGATGTGAACGAAACAAAAGATACGATAAAACATTTACCTGGAGAACAGTTAGCTGCTGTGAAAAAAGAAGGCAAGAGAACGAAAATGAGATGGTGCTTGAAATCAGCAGACATGATGAATGGCTGAGGCACTTGGTGAAGTTTAGCTTTGCTTGCGCTTTAAGTTTCACATTTAAGTCGCTCTCAAATTGTATGTACTGTAGTAACTCGAATCTGTTTTTACTTTACAACGAAACGTTGCGGAATTGGGTCATACAGTAGACTTCCAGCTGCCAGCTGTCTAAGAGAATTTGGGGTTCATTGGTTCTTTATTAGGTTCTAGCCAATTGTTGCGGCCTTCTGAAGAGACAGTTTTTTCTTTTTCGTAACTTAATTATAAATTAAAGGGACTAAAAGGAAAACAAAACAGAGCCTTGGCGATATGGGTTTCTAATGAAATTGCAGAGGCCTCCTCCTCCCTCGAAAAATTTGAAAATTCAAATGCATTGTGATGCCTTTCCGTGAGGTTTGGAGCACTTCTCAAAGAATATATTTTGTCACAGAAAAAAAACGAAAAAGTCCTCTCAATGGGTGAGGGAGGGGTGGGGGAGCTTTGACGGCTGACGTTTAATTTTTTCCTCTTTTGAAGGTTGACATTTCAATTTTCGGAGTCTTTGACGGCTGATGGTTACATTTTAGGGCCGACGGTAATCAGGAACGTATTTCTTCGTCAAGTTTATATTTAGGGTCATAGTAAGTTTTTCGTCATTTGCCATGAAGTAATAACTATTTTGAGGACTCTTCAGTCTTCCTTTGATAGAATGGAGTTAGGCGTACTTACAAGACCTCCAACAATAATTTATGATTAATTTCGAAGTAAACTGTTGTTCAAAGCTATTTTTGTCAAGTCGATTGTTTGCAAGCTGTCGCAACAT